CTTAGCTCTCTCATGGTGTGACGCATTTTGCGTGTTGTTGCAACGTAGAAATGACGGAGTCAGTGTTGTTGGTCATCGCTAGCACCGAATTAGAAGTTTGTTTTTTTTTTCCATGCGCCTCATTGCTTGGTGTGATCTCTGGCGGAATCGTTTGGTTTGACCGTTAATTGCGTAATCTGTGACCTTCAAGATCTTTCAGCCTTGTTGGGCGTAGACAATATGGGAGGTCTATTAGAAGTCTGGTCACTTGAAATCAACGGTTGGGCAGGTTTTGTTGTTTTGTAGTAGGAATAAAGTATCATTCTTTGCAGTGTTTTTCGCCTTGTTATGTTTAGCGGTGGTTTGGACGGTAAAACTTCAGATCACTCGGGACTTGTTATTGTAGCCAGTGGATATTGGCTGAGGAAGTGAAGGCGGGTTTAAAAGCGTTTGTTTCGTCTTTCTCAGATTTATAAGTATGCATTAATTGACCATTTAGTGAATTTTTTCGTGATTAGTGCGTTACGTTTTTTCTATTGTCATTGTTGTTGGATGGATAAACATTCGGATGACTTGGTTTTATGTGATTTAATGCCGGAGTCAAGGAGAGCGGTGCTTCATAAAGTTGCACTTCCGATCACGTTAGAAGTTGGTTTCTGATCATCCGGCGGTTCTTCCCTGTCGATTTTGCTTCCAGGGCACCGCTTTATGTCGAGTAATTGATGTTTTTTTCAAGTTCGTTTACTTTTGTTCCCTGTTTATATACTACAAGCAAGCAGCCTGCATCGGTGACGGCAAATGTCTGGGATATGGTGTCATGTTCGAGTACATATCACAGTCTATTTGCTGTAACCGGCAATGAGGCAGCTGAACGTCGGCGTTCTTTTTTGATACCTGGTTTTGAACTGCACCGACCTCCGTGCTGGATGTCTCTCTATTCCATATTGCATTTGGTTTTTATGACTAGAGACACATTCAGCACTGCGGTACTTGGTGCGCATTTCCGATCATTCATAATTCTTTTGTATTTACTCCTCTTTTACCCTTCTTTCACTGGTGGTCCCGAATGTGCTCATTTTTTAGAACTTATAGCAATGCTGCCCTGTCTCGAGCCAATGTACGCAACAATACACAGGGCACTCGCCTGTTAAGAACTTAGGATTGCAACTTTATAATCACTACTAACAGAACCAACGGTACCGAGTAAACTGAACGTCCAATTTATTGATTTGTGGCCCTAAAGAGGGCCGTTGGGTTAGAAAGATTTAATGCCGTTCTGGAGCACCCAGTATCGAATACTGCTTAGGCACGTTCACCACGAATTCTTCTTGCCAACTGGATATCTTTAGGCATGATGGTGACGCGTTTAGCGTGGATGGCGCAGAGGTTAGTGTCTTCGAAAAGTCCAACCAGGTACGCCTCACTGGCTTCCTGAAGTGCCATCACTGCTGACGATTGGAATCGCAAATCAGTTTTGAAGTCCTGGGCAATTTCTCGGACAAGCCGTTGGAATGGCAGCTTGCGGATCAAAAGCTCAGTCGATTTCTGGTACCTTCGAATTTCTCGGAGTGCCACAGTTCCTGGACGGTAGCGATGAGGCTTTTTCACGCCACCAGTAGCCGGAGCAGACTTACGAGCCGCCTTGGTAGCCAGTTGTTTTCGCGGTGCTTTACCACCAGTGGATTTGCGAGCAGTTTGCTTGGTGCGAGCCATACCGAACACGATGCGATTTGTACAACGCAATGGAGGCAACTCTTTCACCAATTCCTTATATAAGCATTTTTCCCGCAAAATTTTTGGCGCCAACAGCGCTTGCTGCGCGATTTTGGGCTTTGGGTACGGTATGTCACCTTTGCGGCCACAGGAGACAGTAGCAGCAGCTGCAGTGTCATACCTCTGCGTAGCGGAGTTTGGTGTACTAGATACATTTGGCTGAAATTGGAAGGGAGGGGGGACGTTAAACAGCTGAATTCACGTTATCATTTGATTTGGGGTTTTCAAAGGCTTTTTTCTCAGTCCAAAACATGCAGCGAAAAAATGTAAGAAATTTCTCTTCAAATAGTAAAAGTTAAAAGAAAGCAGTAGAGACGCAGGTGTAGTAGATGTTTTAGAAGCACTGAGGGGCAATACGTGATGGTGAATTCCGTCGCTTAGGATTATTTTAATGAAGTTTTACAGTTGTTTGCTATGGTAAGCACGTGACGGTTAGTTGTCACTGCTGAAGTTTCTTGTCCAGCTGGCTGTAGCTTTTGGGAAGTGGGCCAAAACCCTCCAACCACCATCTAATTATGCCCGCTTTCTGCTCGTAGTAGTCATAGAGTACGATTGTTTCCTTTTTATGCGGGTTATTTCACATCAGGTTGCTCACTTTGAATTCAAATCTCGGAACTTTCCAAGTCTTACTGTTAGCTGACCTCATAGATAAAAAACAAAAGCACAGCTCTCTGAAGCTCTGGGTGACAGAAGAAATGGTCAAAGTTTACACCTTGAAAACCTAAAACTTGGGCAAGGATATTTCACGACTTTTCTCCAATTTTTCGGGTTTGTAGTACAACTCCATATCACCAAAGAGCAAAATTTAAAGTTTTAAGATTTAAACGGAAAGAAGTACGCGGGTGAATGCGAAGTGATAGGGGAACTTTCCGTGTCTCACTAACATATTTTTTGCCAATTATTTTGGTATAATAAAAGAAAATAAAATTTTTGCTTAACAGTTGTTGTGTACTATCACAGAATGTGCATGTATGGGTATTTTACTTTGGGAGGAAAGACGGGCGGTTTTTAATTACAACCTGGAAGACCATGTTATCAAAATAATGCGGGAAAAACCATATTAGTTTTGTTGGCATTTCTGAGGCATTAAATCCTGTTGGTGTCGTTCACGAATCCTGCGACTCTTGCGTACAGCGCTGACCCAAGTACAGATCTTGCGATCTTAAAGGCGGGACAGCAACAAATTGGCGCGAAACGAACCGATATAAAAGTGACTCGGCAGGGTAGCGTATTTATAGTGTTGTGTGTGCAATTCGTGTTTAGCGTTCATCTTGGTTCTTTGTGTTCAAAAAATGTCTGCTGAAGCTTCGTCTGCAGCGCAAGCTGCTGTGTCTCCGAAACTCACGTCTCCGAAGGCCTCCAAGGCTAAAAGTGCAGCCAAGCCGAAAGCTGCTGCAAAACCCCCAGCTCATCCGAAGTTCTCTGAAATGATCAAGCAGGCTATCGTTGCACTGAACGATAAAAGAGGTTCGAGCCGCTCAGCGATCTTGAAGTACATCATTCAGAACTTCAAGGTTGGTGATAATATCACGAAAGTCAACGTCCATATCCGACATGCCTTGAAGAAGGGTGTCGAGTCAAAGATGCTTGCTCAGGTTAAGGGGACTGGCGCCAGCGGTTCATTCAAACTTGGCGAAAAGGCTAAAGCTAAGAAGGCTCCTCCGAAAAAGGAGAAAAAACCAGCAGCAAAGAAGACTGGCGGAAAGGCAGTTCATAAAAAGAAGGTGGTGAAGAAGACTTCGGCAAAAAAGACAGGTGCAACCAAGGAGAAGACGAAGAGAGCCGCTAAGAAGCCGGTAAAGAAGGCAACCAAAGTGGCTGCAAAGGCGAAGCCCAAGAAGGCAGCGACTCCGAAAAAGGCGAAGGCTGCGGCAGGAACCAAAGCACCGAAGAAAACGGTGAAGAAGGTTACAAAGACCGCTAAAAAAGTGGCAGCTTAAACACGCACTGAGTTTGCTGTAAATTTAACCCAACGGCCCTCTTTAGGGCCACAGTCATTTAAGTCAGACGTTCCTCCTTTCGTTACACTTTTTAGTTCTTTTTTTTTCAAGTTGTTCTAGTGAGTTATGATTGTGCAGCTGGTTCGTCACGTTTTTCTACCACTGTCTAGTGTTGTTGTCGTATTTGTGAGTCGTTTGCTTGTTTGAATACGTTTGTTTGTGAGCATATATCTAATGTTCTTGGGACGTGCTTTTTTGTTGTCGAGTTGCACACTTTGCGTTGTGGCCTCAAAACGTTTTCAGGTATGGCTCCATTTAGATCAACTCCTGAGGCGGAAGCTTTAAATGGGTTTGCAGAAGAAAAAAAAGCAGGAGTGGATGGTATGAGCGTTAGTGGTATTGATTGGAACTCTTCGGCTGTATGAAGGTGTGAGGAGGTTCGTTGGGAGAGGGACGTTGACGGCTGTGTTCATTCTTTATCCTGAGAGTTTCTTTGTTTTAGTTTTTCAGAAGCGGTTTGACGAAGAGAACAGTCGTGTTTCTTGGGATTACTAGTTGAAATCCTTTGCGGGGACAGGAAAGGAACAATTAAGCGATGCATGCAAATCTAGTGGTAAGTGTGAGTGCATATCAAATGCAATAGTATTGGACTCTTGAGGCGTTCTGGTTGCTGTGTAAACTGCTCAGGATCGCTCTCCGACGAATGAAGCAGGATTAAATGGAACTGAACATAAGTGGTCCCTAGTGTGAGGTTGTATGACTGTTGTTCAATCCAAAATTAGGAAATTATAAGCGAAAAGTCGAAATAGACAAGATGAAAAGTGCTGTTAAGACGTTCTCAGAAAA